CGTGTCGGCAATCCCCAGCAGTATCTCAAACATTTTAGTCTCTTTCGGACATTTTTCTGTCTGCCGGTGTAACGACGAAAAGTGTCTCCCGTAGAATATTGACCGGGGGTCATTTTTCTAAGCAGAAATTTGACCCCCTGGTCAATATTCTATGTAGAAAAATGACCCACTTTTTGGTAGAAATTATGGTCTTGGGGTCATTTTTCTCCGTGTGGGTTGTAGAAAAATGACCCCGTAGAATTATGACCCTGTTTTTTTAAAATTTTTTTTTTAATTTTTTTATTTTTTTTTTTTTTTTATACAAAAACTGGTTTTGGTAGGAATATTCTTGTTATGCAAATATATAGGGGTAAAATTACGCAGCCTAAAAGCTTTAAAGTTTAAATAACAAAAGGGTATAGTATACCTTACATCAATAATACAAGATGTTTTATCCCCATTGAAGGAAAACAAATAACTAGGCTATTATGATTTTCGATGACTATAAGGGCAAAAATACGTGTGTTCTTAGATTTGTTTTATCACATTTTATAAAATAAGCTTCCACAGTAAACATATTAAAAAATAAGATTATTTTCTTAGCTGGTGTCAGAAAGAGAAACTTATATATAAATAGAAAATGCAAGGTTGCTATGTATAATTGTAATGATCTTCTTTAAATTTTACTCTAGGTAAATAATGTAAAAAAAATGAAAATGAAGTCTAAAGCTTTTTTTTTTCTTCAGATGTTATTAGAAAGATTAATGTTTTTGAACCCTACCCAAATAAATTTGCTTGAAAAAAAAATGAACAATTGTTAAGAAAATTGGATCTCATTTATATCATTTACTTTCTAGTATAAAACTTCTTCTCATAAAAATATAAAGAAGATTAAATTTGTGTGAAAATAGTAGACAGGACTAAATCAATATTCCTCTGATATTCGATCTGAGGGACACAAAAAATGGTTAGCTCAAAATCTTTACCAATGTCTTTTGTCGTTTGCTAGTGTCAACAAAGCCTAAACAAAATGAGGCTTTTAACATAAAAAAATGATTAATTAATAAAATTGGTGTTTGGTATACCACGAATTGACACAAGTCTATACACAGTAGTACGTTCTCCCCCTTTCTAGTTACATGTAATAATTTTTACCAATAGAAAAAGCCGAATGTTGTATTATGAAAAAGCTTCTCAGCCTAATTTACATATTATTTTTTTTCCTAAGTATGATTGGCAATATAAGCACAATTGAAGTTTCGTTTGCAAAAAACATAGAACGGTGCTTAAAAATATTGTAACACATAGTGTTAGAATCAAGTACGTGATTCGTGTCAGCGTGTCTATAGTAGTAAGTTTTGAGGGAGTGGGTAACGAGGATGTAACTCACTCTTTAAATCTGCTAGCCTATAGCTATAGAAACAAAAAATTCTGGCTATGTCTTTTCTATTCACAAATTAGTCGTTCTTGCTGTATGATACGAGGTTTAAAAATATAAGAGTTTTTAGGATAAAAGTAAACAAAATTCTTTTTTTTTCTTACTTCAAAAATCCTACTTATAAGGAGTTACATAATGCATATGTGCATGATAATGTAGATTATACATGTATCTATAATGATCAAGGAAGGGAAGAGTATATTGCCAGTATTTCTATCAAAATCGAAGGGCACCCATTTTTTCCCTCCTAATTTATATTTATAATACATTGATAGATACATGTATGGCCATGGTAATATTTAATAATATCAACGTTCATAGGAAATGAGTCTGCTTGATTTTTATTTGAAAAGAAAAAAAAATAACAATTTTAAATTTCAGTACTTAAGAGCAATTTTTACATTAAACATTTTATAGTTAAACTGAAATTTATTTTTAAAAAAGTGAATGTGTTACATTTTAAACATAACATTTCTATTAAATTATTGATATAAAATTTTTAAAAGGGTGATAAAATTGTGATAAGTTTACTCTTGATTTAATTAAAACATAAATCAGTTAAAACAACCAATGAATAAAAGCTCAGCATGTTACCCATGGATGAAAGTTCTTATTGTAAGCAATTGAACAGTGTTGAATAATTCAGTACACTTTGTCTTAATAAACGTCATGAGCATTATATAAATATAATAAACCTATTGATTCTTTTAATTCAACACGTGTGGATGTGTTTGATTTTTGTCTGATCCTGTAAGTTTAAAAAAATGCACAAGATACCAGTGGAAAGTTGAAAATAACGTTTCATGCGTGAAAACAGAGGAAATTCAGGTTAAAAGACGATTTTTTTAATGGTGGTGTTCTTTATATATTTGCAGATTTATTGATCAGTTTTATTTATTTCTTGTTGTCTAAGGGAATTATGCCTTGTTTGTACGTTGAAATATTTGGTCTTTACCTCAAAACATTTATCTACAAAAATCGAGGGGATAGGGTAAAATTACTGCGTCCAAGCGGGCTGATGCGGAGTATTTATTTATACGTCCGCTCCCGATTTAGTACGGCATGGGAGTGTCGGTGGGACGGGAATTTCGTACACTGCTTTTATAATCAGTTGGTAATTGTAGGTAGTGTACTCCACCACCACCAACACCACCACAAAAATATGGTAGTGATGGTGTGTAAGGGATAACTCTTCGTAAACTCGGTAAGTTAAGTGAGGTCTTTGAGAATTGTTACTGGGTTATTGGTTCTATTGGAATGCAGGCACCGAAGTATTGGATCCTTGGGAATTGACGCGACATACCGGATTTTCTGGACACTGGGCTCAAAAGGTCGCGTTACATGAAAACGTAGACAGGTTATTTTACGTTTAATAGTCAAACTATATTATTACATGTTTAAAACATTGCATAATGTCTACTTCTGGAATCACAGGATTTTTCATAATTTATGTTTTCGAATATGAAAACTTTTTTTTCAAAAAATTAACAATAAGTGAATCGCTAAGTGCCATTGCATTTTAAAGATGCTAGTAGTGTTCATCTCAGTTGAATATTGAATTTGACGTTTTGGCGGAATAAGCTTTCAAATGTAGATTTAATTATTTAATAGGTTTTCTTAAATAAATATGTATACATCTACTTGTTTTTCTTGAATATACGATGAATGCAATATATCCGGTAACAGTTTACCGGCTAACTCAAATTACATGTGTAGCATTTATACATAATAGCCCTGCTGTCATTACATCGTTTTTCTTTTTAAGAAGAAACATGGAAAAATATATAGGATAGGGCCACGTACTTGTATTTCACTAACGCAAAATCGCACATCATTTATTGAGTCGAAAAAGCAATGACACGATAGTGCAATGCTGTAAGATAGCGCGATGACGATGATGCGATTGCGCAATAATACGATGACAATGGCATCGATAGTGCGATGGAGCAGTAGCGAACATCGCTTCATCGCTATCGCACCATCGCATCGACGCATGATCGCTCCATCATGCCAGTAAATCATCGTCATCGCATTATCACGTTATCGCTTCATCATCATCGGACCTCGATGGCGCGATTAAGTAACTACGTGTCCCTTTTCGGATTTCATAGTTGTGACGTGTATACCTATCAGGTCATGTTCATCGCGTTTGGTATATTGAAGTTCCCTTATCCACATCCCATACACATTCACTAGACTGTATTTCGATACAGATGTATTTATGTATTTGTTTTTAGTTATTCCAAAGAGTGCTGATTTAAGTACCCAATCACCCCCATTTTGAATTTTAGCTTTCTGTTTTATTCCAAACATTTATTGGTTGGGAGAATGACGGCGTTAGTCTTTGACATCATAGGATATCCCAGACAAGTACATCAATCACACTGCCCTTCTTTGGTCTCTTATTTCTTTGCTATTTTGTTTGCTCAAGGTCACATTACGGGAAAGAGTATTCACACTTTTATCTTCTATTTCTTCGCTCAACATAACTTTTAGGTCAGACGTAATTACTCTTTGTCCCATGTTTCTATACCAAATTTTTCGTGAGTCATATTCATTGAGGTCTTAACATTTTCTCTCCTCCATTATTTCTCTTCTCAATAGTTTATTGTTTGGAGGCATTTGGGTGTAAGTAGATCAGAAACGCAGGGATGTACCCATTTTCTCCTTCATTGTTCTCTCGGACAGTATGGCCAATTGTTTATCTTATATGACTGGGATATTACTTATCCCTTGCGGTTTTTTCTTTACCTCTTTTGATCCTTGACATCAAAATATGCGAAATGTTGGGAAAATCATACATTACCGCGGGTTTTATGTCGCATGCTCTAGTTAAAACTCTACCACGTCAACAAATCAAAACTTGAATTTTGAAGAAAATAAAATATTGGGATTTATATTTCATTAATGATGCATGATTATTCATTTAACCAATTTTTCTCCCCGGTTTCAAAATTTAAAGTTTAAGTATCCATATGACAGTAAATTACCTGATATCAGCGACATACTTCAGGATTCACTTCCTTCAACCCTAAATTAGAAAAAAAAAAACAAGCGGTAAATGTTTAGTAAACAATTACATACAATACTCATTCTTTCATGATATGTCACACTTTTTGGAATTTAACCCTGATGGCAACGTGTCAAGGTGATGGTATATATTGTAGCTGGTTATTCCCAGAATCTTGAGGTTTGAATTATATACTATACACAGGCAAAAGTGGCTCGCATAAATTTTATATGAAATTCGCATGAATTTCATGTAAATTCTTCGCATGAAAAAGAGACGAAAAACAAATCGCATGAAATTTATGCGAAAACTTTATGTGATTTTGACATAATTCTCATATAAATTTTATACGATTTAAAATTCGCACGATATTCATGCGAAAAATTGTATGCACATTCATTGGATGATTTTCTGAATTATGTCATTTCATTTTACTTGAGATTCTCACTTAAGATAGACAATTATTTTTTCTAATGGTATTAAATTTATATCCCGTGTTTCTCTTCATTGCAATAATTGTATGATCATACATATGGAACAATCACAACAAACACTGTGTTTTTTTTTTTTTTTTCAATCTTCTTTATTGGAAGCTTCAATTTTTTTAACAATTCTCTGTTCCAGTGCAACCCATCGTTCTGGAGACTGTTTCATCTGCAAAATAAAAAATAAAATATAAAATTGCTTACTGCATGAGAATTCTGTCTTAATGCTACTTCAATTGCTGTATCATACAACATGTAGTGGTATGTATATTTAAAGTTCCTACACAATTTTGTATATTTACATTTCCAAATATTTTTCCTTGAGATTCTTTGCAAATTAGAAGACTGTTCATTTTCTCATGAACTACCATGGATGAGCATGAATATCTTCATTGTTATGTCATAATACCATATTATAAAAGACAGAGAGAAGGACGGAAGATGGACATGACAAACACTATATGCCCTGGACATATTCATGAAGGGGCATAAAAATGACAGTTAAATGGCGTAATTTGTGGCAACTCATCAGAAAAATAATGTAAATATAAGAAATGGATTCAATTTTTGAAAATTCATGAGGTATATGAACTACAACGCTTCACACTGGCATATTCATGAGAAAGCGTTAGAATATGCCGGCATGAAGCGTCGTAGTTCATGTCCTCATGAATCTTCAAAAATTAAAATCATTTCTTACATAAATGTGGCCATGAACTTGCCAAAATGTTTTCAGTTAAAAAAATTATACATTGTCTGGTCATACTTATCTTTGCGTGAAATGGATATCCAAAGTTTCTCCAATAGAAAATAATATATGAAAATGCCAATCAGGTCTTCTTATGTTCCTTTTTGTAAGATGTTGACCCCCCTCCCCCAGGGACCACTATTTACAAAAGGATCATTAAATATTTCATAATATGAGTGACTTCTCATAGCTTTACCTTTCTTGAAAAGATTTTTAAAAAACTCTTCTCAATATAACATTCCCATGTTAAACTTTGATCCCCCTACCCTAGCCCCACCCTACCCTCTGTGCCATGATTTGAATAAATTTGAATCTGCACTTCGTCAGGAAGGCTTCATAAAAATTTCACCTTCTCTGGCCTAGTGAATTTTGCTGAGATTTTCTAAATTCCAATTAATTTTTTTTCGCTCTTTCTTAATTATCTCCCCTTGAAAGATTGCAAATTTAATGTACCCCTTTTATCCATATATGCTTTGTGATAAGTTGATTGCACTTGGCAAGGTGCTTCTGAAGGAATCCACAATTGTTTCAAGTTGACAAAAACATGGACAGACTGACAGACAATGTTGACAGGTGATCAGAATAAAATTTAACATTTGGTATGGGTGAGCAGAAACCTTACCATAGCATCAATGTTCTTCCTGAACGCCCTCCAGAAGTCAATGGAGGTTGCACCGGAACTTTTCTTAAACAACTTGTGCCCGTCGGGGAATGCTCTCTGTAAACAAAGTGAAGAAATAAAAACATCAGCAAGCAGAATGCACTGTGAATTTCACAAATTCTATCTGGTCCTGAGAAGAACATATTGGTAAAGTAAAAGAAAAATTGATTTTAGATTATAAATGTGCCGAATGATGTCAATTTATTTACTGCTTTTTCTGCATAAAATGAAATGAAATCTTACCAGGGCAAGGGTCACTTTAAAGTTTGTCTTTTCATCCATGAGAGATGGACATACCCAGAAGGCACTGTAGAGGTACCTCTGCAGTGCCTTCAGAGGCATCCCCTCCACATTTTTTTCTGGAGTGACCAGCTGAAATACAGTATATACATAGGTAAAAATATATATACATATATAATTGATACATATACTATTTATGAATTGAACCGAATATCAAAAATACCGCATTTATCACGATAATCTGCATCCCAATTATTTTTCAAAGGATATTACTTTTATTTTTATGAATGCTATATGTACATAGTTAAATAAATTGTCGTATCTAATTAAGTTACCTTCTGTCTGACTTGGTTCCTCCAGCTGGTGAAGGAATGGGAGGCAAATGAGAAGCATATGACCAGCATACTCCCATTTACCTCCCAACCACATTGGCTCAATATGGCTCCCATACCAAACCATTCTCACAATTTGCTCATGAGCAGCTCACGTGAGGACTAACCAGATTTCCTCACGTGAGTTGCTCATGTGAGTCTCATGTGCAATTTAACATGCAAATTAGGTGAAATGCTCACATGAGCAAGATTCTGCACATGAGCATTTTTTGCTCATGTGAGGAATCATTTTGCTCACCTAGAATATTGCTCACATGAGGCTCATTAGTCTCATGTGCAACAATTGCTCACTTGAACAAACAACAATAGAATAAAATTTAGATTACAAATATAATATATACATGTATATTTAAAATATGATTTGTCAATAATATTGAACATTTTAAATATTCTTGAGCAACATGTAAATACATGCATAAATGTTCAGTGTTCTTCATTTTTCAAACTTAAAATGAAATGAAAATTAAAATTAAATTAAATGAACAACTAGTATATACTACATTGAACACATTTCTCTGTATTAATCTTAATTATACATGTATAATTAGTTAATTATGTACAATACACATTATTGTATAAATTATCAGAAAGTTAGATTTCCAGTAGATTTACACTAGAACATCCACTGTAAATGTCCAGTCAACAGTTTTGGACTGCACTAGATGGATTAAAGTTGTTTCTGATATGTCAGGCTATGTAGATTTTTTTCCAATTCCTGAATGCGTGGCAATCATACTTGGGTATGAAATAAATATTCCAGCAGTCATAAGAATCTTAATCATTTCATCAAGTTCCTTTTCCTTGCATTTCCTTTAAATGAGTGCCAACTTCTCAACTCCATCTGTATGTAAGGGGCCGGGGTTAATCTGCAGATCCTTCGATCAGCAACTTTTATCTGCAAAAAATTTGAATTTATAGTTATTATATTTTTCATGGTTCAATTGGTCATGAAAGGCCAGTCAATATAAAAATCGTATGCATCAATATTAAGCAACTTATCTTATTATAGATAAATTATAGATTACTGCACTGACCTGTTATGTACACTTTGACCTAATCTAACTTACCATATTTATAGTTCTTAAAAGAATCTATAGAGAATTTGCAATACATTAAGGATTTTATGTTTGATCCTATACATGCTATATTCAGAACTATAATTATATAAACATTAATTACATTATGTAATGATGTAAATTCATGTTCATATATTAAACTGTGATTACTGATAACATACTGCATTTCTATCTAAATTATAGTATTAATTAATAATTAACACACAAACATACTATGTTTTATAATTAGTAATCTGAAATGAGAGGGGGATTGTAAAGCCCATGCATGCACTTACCTTTTTCTCAGCATACTTTAGTACCAGCAAATCTTTGAAATTTTCCTAAATATATATTACAGTTCTTTTTCATTGTGGCTGCATGGTTATTCGTAATTGATCTTTAATACTTCCTCATCTCATGGACATAAGATGCATTTGTAACTTTTAAAATGTTGACATCCAGTTCAATATGGTGATGACATGTATTTACCAAAGCATATTTCACTTCTTTACTGTATAAATCTACCGGTATATACTTTCATGTCCCTCACAAACATTTTGGATTGAAATTTTGAACTGCTCTGAAAGCGCGCACAAATCCTGACTGGCTCCCCTCATTGGATACTGCCCTAGTTTTAAGCAACTGTGGGGGACACAACAGGTTGTTTAGGTAGAGGAAAGCATTTGCAAATTGATGGGATGAAGATTAGAAGCTCAAGAAATTAAGAAATTCCTGCCTGGCCCCCAATTATTTGTGATGCTATCATCAGGAAGCATTAATAGTTAACACATGGGCAATTGTAATGAAGGCTTGTAAAAGCTTGGACCACATAGAGTGACAAAGTATTGTATTTCCTCACGTGAGCATTAGAAATGCTCACATGAGGAAATGAGACTAGTAATTCTTTGGCGGTTCTACCTGTAATACTGAATTTTGACTATGTCCAATTTCCTAACCTCTTGCTCACGTGAGAAAACTGAACTTAGAAAAATTACTACCAATGCTATATCTTTATATAAGTGTGGCGGTCAGACGAGTTTGACCGCCGGTGGCCAGATAGCTCAGTTGGTAGAGAACCTGACTGGAGATTCAGGGGGCCCGGGTTCGAATCCCGGTCTGGTCCGCTGCATTTTTCTCCTCTCCCGTTACATTTGGTGCCGTGCCATGCCCTGAAAGTGACAGGTGAAAGGCCTGCCAGGGATGAGCCTGGGTTGGAGTCTTTGGGGGGCCAAATTTACATGCCAGGAGCAGAGATACAGCTAGTGCTTTTGCTGAAATGGAGATACTTAACCATGTCATAACAGGTGGCTATTTCCCTAATGGAGAGGAATGGTGAGAACTTACATTAATTTGCATTTGCTTAAAAGTAAACTAAATTTCTCCTATAACTTTTTTTATATTGCACATTATCTACTTGTAAACATTTACACAGAAACTTAATTTCATTATTTAAGTAAAGTAAATGGTCAGCAGGCTACTGAAAAAAGTGCGACAGCTGATCAGGGATGGTCCACTCCAAATGTGTAATGCAACCCTAATTGCACACATTTACAGTAACTTAATTGACTTCCAAGGGATTCATTAACAATGTTTAGACATATATACAAGCCATTTGCCTAAGTTCGAAATGTGGACTTACATTAATTTTTAAAAGCTAAAATCATTGAAATATGAAACCATAAAAACAATTAGAAATGGAAAAATTGTAATATTTAAATACCGCTAAGTAAATCTTAGTAGATGAGACTCGACTGTTGAAAAAGTTGAACTTGAATTGATGCCACAATTCTTGCTTTGAAGATTTCATACAGTTTATTTGATTTATAATTTCATTTTTGCATTATGATTATTCATAGGCTGCAAGCATCAGGGTCTGTTCAAAGTACAGCTGCCTGTAAAGAGGGAGGCAGTTTTTGGCACTACCTGACGAGTCAACCTCTACCACTATAAAGCTAATAAAGGCAATGGAGAGGCAAAATGGATCGTTGGTGTGGGAGTTCATTGATGACGAAACCGTTCACATGTTGTCATTGATTTTCAATGATATTGATTTCACTGGGGCCAAACGAAGCAAATTTTATTCCATAAAGACCCAATCAGAACAGCTGGTCAACAAAGGAGCCTCCATTTTACACAAAGTAGATGACAATAAGGTAACAAAAAGACAGTGTTGAAAAAAATTAGGATTGGTAAAAGTTGAAAATTATGTATTATTCAAAAGATTTTTCCCAGTCAGACATAATCATAATATGATATATTTTTATGTAGGAATTCCTAAAATAATTACAGCTGTTATTCAAATAGTCAACATTTCAAGACCAATACTTTGAATACTTCGTTCTCCTTGAAGAGAACTTTACTTATAGTTTCTGGTTGGTTACGAATTTGGCTTTGATATCTTAATTTTCATAAAAAATGTAGGAAGAATTTGGGTTATTTGAAGAGGGATGGCTCATATCAACTGCTGAAGGCATACATTTTCACCTGGCATAGATCTTCAGAGTAACACCATTGAACAACTCAAGACTGAATGATATAGCCTTGGAGAGAGTTGCTATTACACAAGATTTTGTAGTGGTTCCTGTTTCAAAGATTTTGAGTATTATTTGTTTGGTGCATGACTGTCTGAGTGAGGGGTGTCGTGTGAAAGATGGTTTGGTGAGTGTGCGTGTTGAGCAAGAGATGAAAGATGTGAGAAAGAAATTTTGGAAACATCAGAGAAAAGTTGTTTATTTTTTAAACAGATTCAGTTTTGCCAATCCCAGATGTAAATATTTTGATTAATGTAGTGCAGCTGTGTTCAGTTGATCTGTTGTAAAATGATTATGCCCCTGTAATTGAAGATTCGGGGGTATATAGTTTTTGCCCTGTCCCCATCCATATGTATGTCTGATCGCAAAACTTTGACCTTGGTCATAACTTTTGATTGGTTGGAGCTATGGCTTTCATATTTCACATATGTATTTCTTGTGACAAGACCCTCCCTTGTGTACCAACATATTTGACCTCTTGACCTTGGACGACCCACTTTTGCAAAAATTTACCCAACTTTAACCTTGGACATAAATTTTGAACAGTTGGTGCTAGGGCTTTCATATTTCATATGTATATTTATCATGACAAGACCTTTCCATGGGTGTAAATGTTTGAATGCCCCCGGATCGAAAGATCCCGGGGGTATATTGTTTTTGTCCTGTCTGTCTGTTTGTCTGTTTATCTGTTTGTCTGTTTGTCTGTTGTCAACTTTAACCTTGTCCATAACTTTTGATTGGTTGGAGCTATGACTTTCATATTTCACATGTGTATTCCTTGTGACAAGACCTTTCTTTGGGTACCATCATTTTTGACCTTTTGACCTTGACCTTGGAGTTTGACCTACTTTTGCAAAATTTTATGAGACTTTAACCTTGGCCATAACTTCTGAACAGTTGGTGCTTGGGGTTTCAAACTTCACATGTGTATTTTTTGTGGCAAGGCCTTCCTTTGGATACCAACAACTTTGACCTTTTGACCTTGACCTTGGAGTTTGACCTACTTTTGAAAAACTTTAACCTTGGCCATTACTTTTGAACAGTTGGTGCTTAGGGTTTCAAACTTCACTTGTGTATTCCTTGTGACAAGACCTTCCTTTGGATATCAACCACTTTGACCCTTTGACATTGACCTAGGAGTTTGACCTACTTTTGAAAAACATTAACCTTGGCCATAACTTTTGAATGGTTGGAGCTAGGGCTTTCATACTTCACATATGTAATCCTTGCGACAAGACCTTCCTTTGGATATCAACCACCACTTTGACCTTTTGGACCTTGACCTAGGAGTTTGACCTACTTTTGAAAAACTTTAACCTTGGCCATAACTTTTGAATGGTTGATGCTAGGGCTTTCATACTTCACATATGTAATCCTTGTGACAAGACCTTCCTTTGGGTACCAACCACTTTGACCCTTTGACCTTGACCTAGGAGTTTGACCTACTTTTGAAAAACTTTAACCTTGGCCA